TGTAACCACCAGTTCCCATCACTTCCTTGTTCACTCTGTGAAAATCCATTTAAAACTTTGCTTAAAACTGTGCAAAGTGGCACAAAAATAGAGCAGGTCACTAAAATTGAAGATTGAAGATTTTGAGTAAGTAAATGATTGCGCAGCTGGGAATGAGTGACACTCTACTATCCTACTGGAGATAAAATTAAAGAATTATAAGGCTGATGGAAACTCCTTTGGCCTTGCCAGCGCATCCTGTTCAAACATTAACTTCGCCTTCAGCCCATTTCGCTCTCGAGTTGGTACCTGACCTGCTGACCCTATTTGTAGTCTGTGCCTCAAGTGTTATTTTCCTGTTCGCTTATCCTGTGACACTCCATGCCACATCATTCATACAGCAATGTTTTTTTTAGAAATTCTTAAATTCTTTCTGACAGTGCGGCACTCCCTCAGCACTGACCCTCCGACAGTGCGACACTCCCTCAGCACTGACCCTCCGACAGTGCGGCACTCCCTCAGCACTGACCCTCCAACAGTGCGGCACTCCCTCAGCACTGACCCTCCGACAGTGTGGCGCTCTCACAGTGCTGATTCTCAGACGATGCAGTGCCCTCACAGTATTGAGCTGTAGTGTCTGATTGGATTATACGTAAAGTCTCTGGGTTGGGAATTGAACCCTGCTTCTTCTGAGGTGTTGATGCTGCTCTCTGAACAACAGATGGCTCCCCAGCCTACAGCTACCATACAGGAGTAACAGTGCCTGGGTGTATTAGACCTGGGCTCGCAGCCATTTATCTAACCTGCTTCTGTCTGTCCCGTTCTGCATTCCAGGCACCCACTCATCTGCTAGCAACAAGCAAGCATGAATTAAACATCCAACCAAAGCGCGAAACAATCTCAAGTGAGTCTATAACAGCCACAATTTCTCATTAGTGTAGTGTAGTGGAAAAGGATATGAGTTTGACTTGCAGGATATAACAAGGTCACAGCAGGTCCTGAGGGTAAACAGTACAGTCGTGTTCATGTCCTGTGATGTTGTGTGTTGGTTGCTGAGGAACAGGAGGAGGCCATTTAGCCCCACCAGTCTGTTTGTCCCTGAGCACCCGTCATGACTGTATTTCTATTAATATTAATCCACCTCGAGGTCACAGTCAGTCAGTATCCCCCCATGCACTTTCTTACTGACTGTAACTCTGCTGATTTTAATCTAGCTCCCTAACACTTGATCTGTTACTCTTCCAGTTAGTGTCATTGGACAGTTTTTGTTATTCTGAGCTTGTCCCTGTCTCCAAAATCCTGCTAGATGTTGTTTTATTGCTCATGTGCTCTTCACCGACACCATCCCCCCCAACTTCGTTGCATTGAAGAAAATTAAAAGCATCAGTTTTCTTCAGTTAAAGGTTACAGTTGTTTTATTTTGTCCGCCATGGATGTATGAAGTAATTTGGTATAATGGGAGTGGCCTCAATTTATTCTTGTTCCTGGCTGTAGAGCCTGACCTGGATTTGTACCTTGTCCTTTCCAGCACCTGTTGGTCTCAGCCACTTTCAGCTGAAGAGTGTCCAGTGACCAAACTCACTTCTTCCCTTTGTTCATCATCGGTCTCTGAACTCAATTTACCAGAAAGTTTACCATAAGGGGAGGCGATGGACGTGTGGTATTATCGCTAGACTATTAATCCAGAGACTCAGCTGATGTTCTGGGGATCCAGGTTTGAATCCCACAAAATATTGTAGTCTGGAATTAAGAATCGACTGATCACCATGAAATCATTGCCGATTGTCGGAAAAAACCCATCTGGTTCACTAATGTCCTTCAGAGGAGGTAATCTGCCATCCTCACCTGGTCTGGTCTACATGTGACTCCAGATGTGGTTGACTCTCAACTGCCCTCTGAAATGGCCTAGCAAGCCACTCGGTTGTACAAATCACTACAAAGTCTCAAAGAAATGATACTGGACGGATCACCTGGCATCGACCTAGGCACCAGAAAAGACAATGGCGGAAACAACCCTGTCGACCCTGCGAAGTACTCCTCACTAACATCTGGGGGTTAGTACCAAAATTGGGAGAGCTGTCTCACAGACTAGTCAAGCAACAGCCTGAGAAAGTCATACTCTCAGAATCATACCTTACAGACAATGTCCCAGACACCACCATCACCATCACCATACCTGGATATGTCCTGTCCCACCGGCAGGACAGACCCAGCAGAGCGGGTAGACAGTTGGGACGGAGTTGTTCTGGGAGCCCTCAACATTGACTCTGGACCCCATGAATTCTGATGGCTTCAGGTTAACATGGACAACGATACCTCCTGCTGATTACCACATACCGTCCTCCCTCAGCTGATGAATCAGTACTCCTCAATGTTGAACAACACATAGAGGAAGGACTGAGGATGGCAAGGGCAAAAATGTACTCTGGGTGGGGGATTTCACTGTCCACCACCGAGAGTGTTTCAGCAGCAGTACGACTGATCGAGCTGCACGGGTCCTAAAGGACATAGTTGCTAGACTGGGTCTGCGGCAGGTGGTGAGGGAACCAACAAGAGGGAAAAACATACTTGACCTCATCCTTACCAATCTGCCAGCTGCAGATGCATCTGTCTATGACAGTATCGGTAAGAGTGACCATCGCACAGTCCTTGTGGAGAAGAAGTCCCGCTTTCACATTGAGAACAACCTCCATCGTGTTGTGTGGCACTATCACCGTGCTAAATGGGACAGACTTCACACAGATCTAGCAACTCAAGACTGGGCATCCATGAGACGCTGTGGGCCATCAACAGCACCAGAATTGTACTCCAGCACAATCTGTAACCTCATGGCCCGGCATATCCCCCACTCAACCATTACCATCAAGCCAGGGGATCAACCCTGGTTCGATGGAGAGTGCAGGAGGGTATGCCAGGAGCAGCACCAGGCATACCTGAAGTTGAGATGTCAACCTGGTGAAGCCACCAAACAGGACCACTTGCAGACCGAACAGCGAAAGCAGCAAGTGATAGACAGAGTTAATCAATCCCACAACCAACAGATCAGATCTAAGCTCTGCAGTCCTGCCACATCCAGTTGTGAATGGTGGTGGACAATTAAACAACTCACTGGAGGAGGAGGCTCCACAAATATCCCCATCCTCAATGATGGAAGAGCCCAGCACATCAGTGCAAAAGATAAGGCTGAAGCTTTCACAGTAATCTTCAGCCAGAAGTGCCGAGTGGATGATCCATCTCAGCCTCCTCCAGTAGTCCCGAGCATTACAGATACCAGTCTTCAGCCAATTCAATTCACTCCACGTGATATCAGGAAATGGTCAGAGACACTGGATACTGCAAAGACTACGGGCCCTGACAACATCCCGGCAATAGTACTAAAGACTTGTGCTCCAGAACTTGCCGCTCCCCTAGCCAAGCTGTTCCAGTACAGTTACAACACTGGTATCTACCCAACAATGTGGAAAATTGCCCAAGTATGTCCTGTACATAAAAAGCAGAACAAATCCAAACCAGCCAATTACCGCCCCATCAGTCTACTCTCGATCATCAGTAAAGTGATGGAAGGTGTCAGTAACAGCGCTATCAAACAGCACCTGCTCAGCAATAACCTGCTCAGTGACACCCAGTTTGCGTTCTGCCAGGGCCACTCAGCTCCTGACTTCATTACAGCCTTGGTTCAAACATGGACAAAGAGCTGAATTCCAGAGGTGGGGTGAGAGTGACAGCCCTTGACATCAGGCTGCATTCGACCGAGTGTGGCATCAAGGAGCCCTGGCAAAACTGGAATCAATGGGTATCAAGGGGCAAACGCTCCGCTGGTTGGAATCATACCTGACACACAGGAAGATGGTTGTGGTTGTTGCAGGTCAATCATCTCAGCTCCAGGACATCTCTGCAGGAGTTTTTCAGGGTAGTGTCCTTGGCCCAACCATCCTCAGGTGCTTCATCAATGACCTTCCCTCCATCATAAGGTCAGAAGTGGGGATGTTCACCGATGATTGCACAATGTTCTGCCCCATTTGTGACTCCTCAGATACTGAAGCAGTCCATGTTCACATGCAACAAGATCTGGACAATATCCAGGCTTGGGCTGAGAAGTGACAAGTGACATTCGCGCCATACAAATGCCAAACTATGACCATCACCAATAAGAGACAATCTAACCACCACCCCTTGACATTCAATGGTGTTACCATCACTGAATCCTCCATTATCAACATCCTGGGAATTACCATTTTCCAGAAACTCAACTGACTCACCACATTAACACAGTGGCTACAAGAGCAGGCCAGAAGCTAGGAACACTGTGGCAAGTAATTCACCTCCTGACTCCTCAAAGCCTGTCCACCATCTATAAGGCACAAGTCTGGAGTATGATGGAATACTCCCCACTTGCCTGGATGAGTGCAGCCCCAACAACACTCAAGAAGCTTGACACCATCCAGGATAAAGCAAACGCTTGATTGGCACCACATCCACAAGCATCCACTCCCTCCCCCACTGATGCTCAGTAACAGCAGTGTGTACTATCTACAAGATGCACTGCAGAAATTCACCAAAGATCCTCAGTCAGCACCTTTCAAACCCACAACCACTTCCATCTGGAAGGACAAGGGCAGCAGATACATGGGAACACCATCACCTCCAAGTTCCTCTCCAAGCCACTCACCATGCTGCCTTGGAAATATAATGCCGTTCCTTCACTGTTGCTGGGTCAAAATCCTGGAGTTCCCTAATAATAGCATTGTGGGTCAACCCACAGCAGGAGGACTGCAGCGGTTCAAGAAGGCAGCTCACCACGAACTTCGCCAGGGCAACTAAGGATAGGCAAGTAATGCTGGCCAGCCAGCGACGCCCACATCCCACAAATGAATAGAGAAAAAAAAACCTCAAAACACAGCACGAACATGGTAAATACAATAAACTCAACCATTCCCACCAGAAATCCAAACAGGTCTTAGTTCAGGTAGACACTGGATTGAACCTCTGTCTGCATTAATCTCTCTGTTCTGTCTCTCTCTGACACACACACACACACACACAGAGCAGATGGGGCATTTTAATTTGTTCAACTAAATTAATTTTGTATTTAAAGCTAACCACGATAATAACAACTAGCAAAGTGTTGGACTCTCAGAAATACCTATCCAGTTCAAAAATGCCTGTTAGGGAAGGAAATCTGTTGTCCTTATGTGATCTGGTCTACAAGTGACTCCAGACCCACAGCAATGGCTCTTATTGACCCCTGAAATGACAGCCTTCCGAATGTGTGTGACTTGAACCTGATGCCTCTTATCCTCTAGCTGTGGCCTAACCAGAGCATTTTTTAAAGATTCAGCGTAACTTCCTGGCATTTGGCAAACACAGGAAAATGGATTTGTGATACAGATTAGTGAGCTTGATGGGGCCTCCTCAAGTTTTGTGAGTTTTCAATATGTAGCCAAAACTGAAGTTGAGATGTGAAACCTGCTCCAGTTGGTCAGCCAGTGCATCTTTCTATAAGGGGACAGTGTAAGCTGTCAGCCTCAAACAGGCACCATTCACAATCCTGGTTCCTGTCACATGACAGACAAGGGGACAGATACTCTAAGGGCGCTCAGAGATAACCATAGATTCAATAAGGGATAAGCTGTAATGTCTGACACTAAGACACTGTAGAAATGGTAAAGGATGTATAGAAAACAGGAACAGGAGAAGGCCATTCAGCCCTTCGAACCTACTCCGCCATTTAATATGATCACAGCTGATCATCCAACTCAGTACCTTATTCCCACTTTCTCCCCATAACTTTTGATCCCTTTAGCATGAAGAGCTATATCTAACTCTTTCTTGAAAACATTCAATGTTTTGACGTCAATTGCTTTCTGTGACGCAGAATTCTGCAGGCTCACTATTCTGAGTGAAGAACCTTTCCCTTATCTCAGTCTTAAGTGACCTACCTCGTATCCTTAGACTGTGACACTTGGTTCACTCACTCACTGCCTGATATTTATAGATTTTCTTGTTCTAGCTGAGGGCAGTTAATTTTACAGTTTTCTTTTACAGAGTAACTTTATGCATGAACAGATACTTTAACGAAAGTGTATAGACTTTATTTAGTATTGGGTATACACATATATAGAGTGACAGCAAAGCGCAATGGCTTATAATGTTCAAATAAAACCCCTGAGTATGATCAGTGCCTGTATCACCCTTCTGGAAATGTTATTCTGTATATAAACATCCAAACTCCTTGAATAGGGTCCATTTATAAATCACACCTAGGTACAGTTGTAATCATTTTATCAAAGACTTGTCTCTATAAGCTACCTGGAGGCAAGTGGATATGCTGCAGCAGATTAATTTGAAGTTGCCCTGTCATATCAATGAAGGTCAATATGGCATAGAATTGAAGGTTGTAAGAAATATCCTGGGCCTCTAGTGGGTGACTAGTATTTTATGTAAAGATAACAAGGTGTAGAGCTGGATGAACACAGCAGGCCAAGCAGCATCAGAGGAGCAGGAAAGCTGACGTTTCGGGCCTAGACCCTTCTTCAGAAAATGGTATTTTATGTAACCTGGTTACAATTGTAGTGAGCTCTTGTGTTTATTGCTGACGTTGACGTTTTGAGAAAGGAATACTCGGCCACAGAGTTTCTCCATCCAACTAAAACAGGCATTTTTTTTGACGAGGGTAAAAACAACACAGGCTAGGACTGGAAGCTGGTGATCAGCAATGAGA